AGAGTTGTTCAGGCTCTTTTTAGACCCTTATCAATATTTTGACGTGGTAGCAATTAGAATGGGAACAAGTGTCAGTGATGGGCCATCCCCTTCAATGGGGGACAGAACAAGAATATTCAATGAGCCCTGTGATTGTAAAAGAGCTTATGTGTTTAACAGGATTACTTGGTTTCTTATTTGGATTTTGTTTTTTTGACTCACTGGTGGTGAGTGGTAGATAACTTTTTATAATTGTCGCACAACAGTTAGGAGCATTTAAAATTGTTTTCCTCTTTTAAAGCTGTGTCCATGTTAGGATAATCTCTATGAATGAGTTAGTGAAGAGATGAAGTGAAAATAGGTTAAATCTTATGAGATTAAACAGCAGTTTAACATTTTCACTTATTTACTGTATCACTACCAGGCATGAAGATTAGCTCAAGAAGGCCAAAATTTTGTTAACTTAAAATCCCTAGGATTATATTAATGTTACTAGCAAGAGCCGAAAACCATCTTCACAGGGCATTTTCCAGTGTCGAATTTGCTGAGGTTTTAGGGCAATACTGGTAACAAGGTTCATTATGACCATCTGGACTTTCAAATATGCAGTCCCTAATGAGAATCTCTACTGAAAACTGGCTTAGTGGTCAGCTGCTAACTTCTGAATAAACACAGACTGTTCTTTTCACCTATATATCCACTGACACTTTTCTTGCAGCTACTTAAAAGACTAGAAACTGGAGAGGGGCAAAAAAAGACTAGAAACTGAGAATGAACTATATCACTGAGGGCTTTGTACATTTTTACTAAGGGTTAAACGCTCTGCTGTGAAAATGCATTCTTGGTCAGCAACCTCTCCCACTCTGCTGAGCAGTTTCTAAATCTTCACATACCTCTTGAAAAATCCTCTCATGCTCCTGACCTTACTGCTTTCAACAGATTACCTGCTTTCTGCAGATAATAGTTCAGTAAGTAGTAAGGAATTACTCAACTTCCTTCCCTGAAACCAACAACTTACCCTTACCCGCACCTGTATTTACTTATTTCCTCTCCTCTCTGTAGTGTCCCTCAGCATACCCAAAGTCACTGGTGATTTTATTCCACTTTCTGTGCACTAATTTTTTTTTAATCCTTACTCCTACTTTTACAACCTCTCCTCTCTTTTGCTTCCCTATGCCTTTGATGTAAACATGAGTGGGCTTGTGACCTGAGCTTCTTTAGTCTTTATTTATATCCTCTGTATCTTCACAACCAAGACTTTAAAAGTAGTCTACATTCGTTTTCTTATTTCCCATTTACTCTCAAAAACTACAAGTCATGCTGCACGTCCACCATTCCCCTGAAAAAGTGCCTTCTACTGTTATCTGCCACCTGTTGATTGTCAAACCAGTGTTCAATTCTTATCTTCTATAACCTTTCCAACATTTACTTTTTTATCCTTACCAAAGACCTTTTTTATTGCTCTTAGAGAGACAGACAGAGAGAAGCATTAATGTGAGAGAGAAACATCAATTGGTTGCCTCCTCAAATGCGACCCAACCAGAGACTGAACACACAACCTGGGTATATGCGCCTTGACTGGGAATCAAACTCACAATCTTTCAGCCTATGGGACAATGTTCCAACTAACTGAGACAATGGGCCAGGGCTCCAACATTTTATATTACAGATTCAGCACCTGCCCCCACTGCCAAACCCCTTGTCTGCCCAGGCAACACCATAACCACCCTTCCACCCTGAAATTCCCCATTAAGTCTAAGCCCAGTCCTGTCTTATCTCTTTTTTCAGTTTTTCCTGGCAATCTCACCCAGGCTCTTAGCCCAAATTCTGATGGCTGTGCTCTCTACTTTCACTGAAACCCATTTTCTATACTACAGGCAATAATTTCTTACAGCACAGATCACATCATGACACTCCCGTGTCTAAAATCCCTCGTTGTTCCTAGTCTGAGGGATAAAAATAACCTGCTTGACTGTTCATCCCTTGACCTCATCGGCCTTTTCGGCCTCATCTACAGGCATTCGCTACACCTAAATTATAGTGCTGCCAAAATACCTTACCCTACCATGCCCTCCTACACTTTTCTTGCCTTTTCTGTTCTCATTTTCCTCCCTTTTCCCCCCAAATTAAGTCCTAACTGCTCTTCAAGACTTTCAAGACACATATTAAATCTCATTCATATTCAACAAATATTTATTGAAAGCACCTTCTGTTTCAGATGCCCATCTGAAGGCTGAAGTATTGGCTGAGCCAAAGTCCTGTTCTAACATCGATTTCACTGAGGGACTGGAGACAGGAATGGGACATGCAGAAAACAAAGCAGGGCAAGGTGGAGACAGGGTTTGTGTGATGGTGCACTGTTTGGTACTGGAAGATTCTGGGAGGCCCTTGCTTCTGCTGAGTCTGTTCCTAACTGAGCTAGGTGCTCTCCATAAGTGCTCTGATCATGAAGAACAGATGCTAGATTACTTGCTGGGCTCCTCTGATAGCCTGTAACTCCTTGAGGGTGGAGACTTTCATCTGGGCATTCCTGCTTTCTAGTACATAATCATGCTAAGGAACTGTACTGTGCCAACACTGTGCAGCGTGGAACGATAAAGCCACATAAGTGCTCAAAACATTTTTTGCAATAAATTAACATGTATTTGAAATTGTAAGTTAATAGAAAAACTTCAAAATGTAAAAATTTAACTTCATACTTAATAGCTTAATACTACATCAAATACTAAAACCAGGATAAGGAATCTGACAAAATATCATAACTACATAGTAACATATTCTTGAATTATGAACGGTAGGTAAGTACTGATTAAATAAACATTTCATATGAGACATGTAATTTGCTTAGCATTTGAAAACACTTTTGGGAGAATGAATTATAAAGGTATGTAAGTGTTGTGGAGAAGTATCAATAAGAATTTTGCAGGGAACTGGGAAGTAGATAGCATGGGCAGAGTGAAAGCAATGTGGTACAGCTTTGTAGATGTAAGTCTACTGGTTTATTTGTACAGGTATTTCATTTACTAATTAAAGACAGAAATAAACTAAAGAATCATGGTATCTTATCATGAAAAACCATAATCGCGTTGCTGTTAACCTCAATGGAGAAACAAGGGCAAAGTTAGAAATTAAGAAGTTTTTATTTTTTTAAACGCCCATATTTTCAGATCCTTTTTGCAAATTTTAGGAATTTAAATAAAAAATACACTAAAATTCCCTAACCATGATCAATTTTCTTCTTGCTATTTTTTCTTGTTTTTACTTTTTCAAATAAATTATATAATATAAAATTACAGAAAGTTTATAAAATTGAAAAATATATGTATATATACACAGATTATATATAACTCTACTACTCTAAAACTACCAGGAGTATAATGATGTTCAAATTACTTTTATTCACTTATTATAAATATTTCTCAAAGATATTACAACCTTGGTAATGATTTTTTAATCACAGCTGTATAATATTTCACCTCACAGATGGATAATAATTTATTTTACCATTTTCTTATTGTTGGGCACTTAGGTAGCGCCTAGTGTTTTACTATTATATGCTGCATTAATTATCTCCCAGCAATTCACTTATTTCCTTTGATCTTTCTGTAGGAGAAATTAACAGCTGTGGGATTACTGGCTTAAAAGGTAGGAACACTTTTATGGCTTGGAAAAAAATCATGCCAATTTATAATGTCATTAGGAATGTATACGAACACTCACACTACTGCATCTTTGCCAGCATAAGCATTATCATTTAATTTTTCCCATTAACTCCCAAATTTAACACTGTGCTTAACTGTTTCAATTTGCATTTGAATGCTACCTGGGTTCAAAATTTCTAATTTTTTAGAAATTAGAGATGACACTGCTACTTCAGCAAGAAACCATATTGAGCATACGTCAATGGTTCAAGGCTGTAAAAATAAAATAAAAATAAAATAAAAAGTAAAATCTTAAAGAAAGTTAATCAATCATCACACGAGTAACCATTATTGGGCTCCACGGTAATTAGGCATTAATGGCAAGCAGTTCACGTGAGAAGCCATTATTACTATTATTTCCACATAGCCAGATAAAGCATTCTTAGATTACGGGGGAAGCTTGGACCAAGTAGAGCTATAAACTCTTCTTATGTTCTCATAAAGGTCTCTTAATCTGAAACCAGATGTGACCCAGAAGACAAGTTTTGTTTTCGTTTGCTTTCCTGTCTTAGCCCATGCTGCCTCTCTAAACTGAGCACCCAGTAAAGATAATAGGCATTGTACATTTAGTTTGGCTGAAGGTGGCCTAACACTTACTTTACTGAGAATCAAAGACAAGATCAAGTCAGATATTGTCAAAGAAATGGCTACCAAACCCCTTGTCTCTTCTATGAGCACTCCTCAAGTGAAGGATCTAGGTTTCCAGTGAGACTGCTTAAGAGCTTTGAACCATTGCCATGTCCTTTTCTGCAGAGGGTAAGAAAGGGCTTGAGGCACCATCCTTCTCCCATTTTCCCAGTCAACCTTCCTAACTAACGGAGGACTGATCTGGGTAACTGGGTTTAAGACACTGCCCTCAGCCACACATCTTTCTCCCAACATTGTCCAAGTTTCCATGAATTAAAGATGCTTTGATGTTTCTAGGTATGTAATTCTAAAATTAAAGAAGAAAGGTGGGAGGGAGTGCAAGAGATTAAAAAAACCCACACTCCACAGTGATGATTAGTTTACCAGCCTGGTTTAATATTCTTAGAATACTCAACTCTAAAGCATGCAGAGAATAGAAATAAGAGTTCCAGTATGGAGAGGGCACAGGGAGAAGCAAAAAGAGTTAAGTCATTTTGGGTTGCTTTACAAATGCATAGCTGAGGACACTACACTACGGAAGAATAGGCATGGAAAAGGTCAATATTATGACAATAAAAGTGTATGTTTTTATAGACCTTGGGAGATTACAAAGCACATTTTCACCATCATATGACTTAATGTTCACAACAACCCTGTACTGAAACTGAGACCCAGAGATATTAAGTAACTTACCCAAAGTCACATAGGTAGTAAGTGGCAGAGCCAGGACACGACCCAGGTCTTCTGATTCCTCCTGTGCATTTCCAGCTCCCCTGGAGCTGAAGCAGGGGCAAAAAGGGAGGTGGAAGTAATTTGCCCAAGACCGGCCTTGCCCTTTCCCCTTCATTCAAAGGCCAAGCAGAGCAGACATTTAACTCTCAGTGACCCCTTTCATCAAATTCTTTCAGGATAAAGCAATCTGAAAATGTTTCTCAGCCTCAGGCCCAAGAATGGCAATAAATAGCAAACAATGTTGGAACTATTTTTGGCTACACTTTTGTCATTTATGTGAAATTTATTGGAACCTCAGGCATAGTAATTCTCATTTCAGAAAGGAAAACTTACTCTTATAATTGATATTATTTAAAGCAGTTTGTTTAAAAGATTTTGTTTTGCAGTTTCAGGCAAACCTTTTAAATTACACCATTTAAGAAATTATCTTGAGAAATGCTTAAGAATCAAAATACCAAATCTACTTTTAACATACTCTATGGTCTTTTTTTTTTCTATCTTAATCATCTTCCCCCCGGTGATTCTTTTCCTTTTTTATCCTTACCCGAGAACACGTTTTCATTGCTTTAACAGAGAGAGGAAGGGAGAGAGTGAGAGTGAGAGAAACAAAGCTGTGGGAGGGAAACATCCATTGGCTGCCTTCTCATACAGGCCCCTACCAGAACTGAACCCACAACTTGGGTGTGTTCCCTGACCAGGAATCGAACCTGTAACCTTATGGTCTATGGGATAACATTCCAACCAACTAAGGTGTACTGGCCAGGGCTCAGTGATTATTTTCATTAAAGCAATTATGAATGGACAAAATAATCAGTCTTTTCATGAGCAATTTTAAATATTTTCAGCAAATTAAAAGAAAATGTGTGCGTCTTTTTGAGATGTCTTTTTCAAGCTGTAATCTTATATTCCTTTCTAAGATATATCTAAAATGATTTTAATGTAGCCATTTATAATTCATTTTCTATAACAAAATTTAAAATTTCCAGTCCTAGTTTCTTGAATAGTTCTATAATTTTTCTCAGAAATTTACATATTTTAATTTCTCATCTTAACTAAGTTTTTAACATATTTAATGAGAATTTTTCTTTTTTCTTTGCCTACTTCCTAAGAATTGAGGATACAATTTAAGTGGACTGAGCATAGAACCAATTTCTTTTCATTTCTAGATGGTTTTATAATCGGCTCCAATACATCTCAGTCTCCAATAGTCTTTCCATTTATGAGAACTACGACCAGTGGGGCCAGGTGCTCAGGAAGCATTAACCCTGATCAGGGCCTAGAAGGGATCAACCAGGCATATCATTTAGTTCTTCCGAAAGGTTTTAGAGGCTCTGTTTAACCAGACTTCATTTGAGCATCAGTCCTATCTGACAGGAGACATATGCAACTAAAGAGTTAAAAGTCACTTGTTACTTTTAAGATGGAAAAAAAAGGGCAAACTGACATAAAAAAATTAAATGGAAGAGGAAAAGGAGAAAGAGGGGGAGCCTCTTTTGCATAAAAGTAAAGAAGAGCAGAAGGGAAGGCGAAGAATACAAAGAAAGAAAAAGGTTTTACCTAGAACAGAAAAAAAATTTGAATAAGTACTAATACTCACAAGCTTTTAATATGTCTCCCTTTTCCCTTTAAGTTGTCAAGTCTGTATTTTAAAAATCTAATTAAGTCTAACATTCTTTGGGTACTGATATTCAAATTCAGGGATTCTTAAAAATAAAGTTTATATTATCTGATCACCTTATGAAGAAAAAAATATATTAGTGTACTTTTCCCTACATTATTTAAGCCTTATTTGTCTTTTCAAAATAAAGTGCTCTTTATATTCTCTTTTTTAAAGATTACTTATTTGTTTATTTTTAGACAGAGGGAAAGGTAGGGAGAAGGAGAGGGAGAGAAACATCAATGTGCGGTTGCCTCTTGCATGCTCCCTACTGGGGACCTGGCCCACAACCCGGGTGTGTGTCCTGACGGGGAATGGAACTGGTGACCCTTTAGTTCACAGGCTGGAGCTCAATTCACTAAGCCACACCAGCCAAAGCTCTTTATATTCTCTTAAATCATTTGGTATATGGTACCAAAAATGGTTACCAACATTTAAAAAAATCACAAGTACAAAAATTTTAGAATTTGAACCATACAGAAACAGAATTAAACTGAGTTTGAATATTTTACTTTGTATTATAAGGTCTTTGTTAAACATGCCCAAGAGGGTTGACCCTAATTTCCCAATCAGATGATCTGTAGAAAAAATGAGCATTCTTTAGGCAAGACAAAAATGCCAATAAAAGGTAGTTAACATTAATACTAGTTCTGAAAAGTCAATGTTGGCTTTTCCACTTACTTTCCTCATTCTATCCCATTCATTTAACATGTATAACAAAATTCTGTCAGGAACCATGCCAACAACAGTTCCCAGAACGGAATCACCCCAGTTTGATGGAGGCCTTATTAATATGTATTAGATGGCTTCTGGAAGGAGGAAAATATATCTTCTTCTTCTATATCATTTTAATTCCTTGGGTATATAGGTCAATCTATTTTCCAAAGTAGCTTTGTTACAAAAAGCACTAAAAAAATTTGTTGAAAACTATCATATGAAACTGTCATACCAGAGTTTGATGTCTGAAGAGCTCGTCAGTACTGAAGGTTACCATCTGGACTACGTGAATCATTCGACAAACAATTACTGACCTCCTTCTACTGTTTCTGCTACCAAACCAGGGCACATGCTCACTTAAAATTCAGATTCTCTCAAGCACTAAAAGAGATGGTACACATAGCATTTACCTACTACTTATTTAGACAGTTTCTTTGCACTTAGACTAGCTATTTTCCAATCATAAACTCTGCCCTTGTTTATAAATGCTTGGAGAGGGCATGTTTCTTAAAATGAGTTTTTTCCCCTCCAGAACTCTCAAGTAGATTTTGGAATTAGATTCAAGATTATCAAGTCTGTTATTTTATCAGGAAAATAAGAACAGGAGATCTAGAGCAGTTAAGCATAAGAGTTTATTCTCTAGAAGGCCTTTAGTAAATGAAAACGATACCATCAAAAAGCTTCAGAACACATTGTCCTAGCAGAAAAAGAGCTAATGATGACACAAAATAGAATTTTGGGATTTTTTGGAGTACTCTTCTTTATTTAAGAAAGCCCACACACCCAGTGGAATCAACTTTCTTTGACACTTTCTTCTGATTTAGTAGCCAATGCTAGCTTAACAACAAAAAAAAAAGGTTTCAGGTTTTGCCTTAGACTAGACTGTTGAAGAAGAATTAATACGAAACCACAAATAAGGAAAACGCCTTACTGCTGGAACATGTAAATAATACCCGGTGGGCATGAGGTGAGAATTACAGAAAAGGGCAACAATATTAGAAAAGCTATGATGGGAGTCTTCACAAAAGCCAATTTCTAAAAGTTAATACATAAAAAGTTTCCAGAATTAAAGGACTAGTGAGCTTTGTATATAGTTACACGTAAAATAGAATCTTCATTTTATTTTTATGTAATAAAACACTATGACTAATGGCAAAAGTTCTCAGAAGGGGCATAAAATTTCAGGAATATATTTTGTCCTCTATTCACAGAAAGGTAAAGATTCTTGGGACATGTCTGAGGAGAAATTAACTTTTATACACTTCTTATAAAATAAAAATATCTGATTATATTATTAATAAGAAGTTTGGAATATCTAAAACTATATATTCTAAAGATAAATCTTCACCCTATTTTACAGATGGGACATTTGAAATTTAGAAAGAAGTTAAGGAGAGAGCTAAAACAAAAGCATCTTCTAAAGACTTTCTACATAACAAGTTCTATACAGAAAAAGAAAAAAAAGTGTTCCCTGAACAAATAAGTCTGTGAAACAATATCCACTATATATCTCTCTCGGAGATTAAAAATACATATTAGTCTATTTCTGGCTTAAAGAAGTCCTGTGATCAAAAAGTGTACTTAATTTTTTTAACCCAGCATTTTTCAAACTTATTTAACCATGAAGCATGACTAATGTTCTCAGAACATTTTAGAAAGCCCTGAGCTAGATGGACTAGGCATGAAAAAGTATGTACAAAAAAAATAATGATTCTTATGACAGTCAAATCTGCTTCACTGGAACCTCTTTATTATGTTAACTCTTAATAAACTGTATTGTTTTAAGGCAAATAAAATGTACTCACTGTTGTAGTACTTCCTTTACCTTCTGAATGGAGCTCTCAGCCAATGACAAGCCACTAAGGGAGTTATGTCAAGCCAAGGTGTAAAACTCTTCCCAATAATTTCCAAGTTTAATGGAACTGGAAGTTTTGTAACATCAGAGTATTTCTCACAAGGAGACAGACCAAATCCATCCTTTTCCTAGAGGTGTGATACTGAAGCCTAGTGCACATGATGCTAGAACAAATAGCATAGGTCCAATAGAGTCCAGAAAATTAGGATCAGTAGGAAAGGTAGTCCATTAAATCAAAAGATGCCACCTACGCAGGTATGTCTAACCTTTTGGCATTTCTGGGCCATGCTGGAAGAAGAAGAGTTATCTTGGGCCACACATTAAATATATAAACAGTAAAGAAAACTGATGAGCAAAAAAAAAAAGGGTTTTAAATTTAAGATTTTGTGTTGGGCCACATTCATAGCCATTCTGGGCCGAAACTAAGAGAGAGTTGTGTGTATTTGTTATTTGTTTTTTTAATTTACAAAGGCTGCTTCTTCAGATTTATAAAAATCTTTAAAATATACTGACGTGAGTATCTCATCAAGGCACATACTCAATATATAAGATTAACTTTTTGGGGAATGAAGAAATAAAATAAAATGAAAATGTTCCTCAGATTCATTTGTTTTACTACCTTTATTTCCTGTACAATGAGTATATTAGCAAGTCTATTGCATATATATGCAAAGGAATGGTAAAATACAGCATAGTTTGAAATTATAGTTTTAAAAGTCCTGGTAAGTAACAGAAATTTATACTTAGAAAAGAACAAACCTTGGGTCTACTGAATCAAGATGTCAAAGGAGTACAAGCTCATCTGACAATCCCAGCCC